CTTTGGAGAACCAAAATTATATTGCTGCTCTAGTGTCTACATTTAGATTATTGGGTATATATTTTGAATATGTCTTATGAACTAAACTTTTGGAGCATTTTATATTAATAGTGAAACTTCTTTATGAGAACATGTAACTAGGTTTTTCATTTTTGAGATACTGCTAAATTTTAAAAAGTTGCTTTTCTTTTTATTCTAAGTAGTTGTGGAGTTCCTCAAATATGCTACACAATTTTCAGAATTCTTCATGAAAGCTATTAAAGCATCCAAGTCAACTTATTAGTATAACTTGAAAAAATGCTTCCCTGTCTGTATACGTTTTTAGTAGTGAGAGAGTTTTGTCTAGTTTTGAATTTAGTTTCTTCTCAAGAACAGCTGACCTGACAACGGGGCCTGTCTCTCAACTTGTCATTTAGTTCTTTGAGAAGCAGTATCTCAGCTGTGGTTAGGCTAACTTAAGCTGTAGAGTTTGTGGGGCTTTGTTTTTTCTTCTTGCTGTAAGCTTTTATTTTGTTTTTGGACTTTCTACTTGTTTTCCAATATGCAATGTGCAAATAGTATCCTTTTTTACTCAAAGTTTCTCGGGGTTTATTCTTTACTTAGCTCTAGTTCCTGATTCTTTGGAGTTTACTTCACTCCTATCTACCTGGAGAAATCTACTCATATGTTAGTTCTGGAGCCCGAAAGAACCAGGGCTGATGCCCAGTGTTTATAGTAAGAGTTAATTCCCAATTTGGTATTTGTAGAGAGTCCACTGTGTTCCAGGTACTGTGTAAGGTTCCAGGGGAGATATCAGAGGTGGGTAAATATTGGTCCTTGCCTTTGGGGAATTCAGAGTACCGAATAGCTCTTTAGGCCATTCTTTCATTAAGCATTTTCCAAATTTTAGCTCACTGCACATCAGCTTCAAGGTTTTGGTCAAATCCACGTACTACTTGTATAATTATTTACATACTATTTCTGCCTAGATAAACTAACTTTTTTATCTTAGAAAAAACTGAATGGCTTAAAGTAACAAGACAGCTGGACACGTCTCTGCGTGTCTCCCCTGGGGTCACTCATGCAGCTACAGTCATCTCAGATGGTCTTACACGGCTGGTGCAGGCTGTTGGTCAACCTTGCCCTCCACATGGTCTCTCATCCTCCAGGACACTAACCCAGGCTTCTGCACATGGTGGGAGCAGCGTTCCAGGTGATGAGATCAGCAGCTGGGAGACCTGGTGAGGACTAGACTCAGATGTCCCATGGCATTAGTTCTGCTGCCTTCTGTATTCACAAGTCACAATGCCAACCATGATTCAACATATGAGGAAGTGGAATTCACATCTTATTAGAACAGTGGCAAAGTCACATGGCAAGAGGTATGGATTCAGGAAGGGAAGGAGTTATTGTGTCATCTTTTTGGTCAACTTACTATATGTGGAAAATACTAACACAAAGTGGGTATAAGAATATTAGTATCAAAGTTGAAGTCAAGGTGAAAAGAAACTAAGAGGAAATATTTCTTAGAGGTAAAAGAAACACTACCACAAGAAGATAAAATACTCGTGAGCATGTTTTCATCTAATGACATACATTCAGAATATGTAAAGCAAAAGCTGTTAAAGAATAAGGAGAGGCTAGGCACAGTGGCTCGCAACTGTGATCCCAGCACTTTGTGATTACGGGGAGGATTGCTTGAGCCCAGGAGTCCGAGACCAGCCTGGGCAACACGGTGAAACCCCATCTCTACCAAAAAAAAAAAAATACAAAAAGTAGCCAGGTGTGGTGATGTGAGCCTGTAGTCCCAGCTACAGTGAGGACAGGCAGGAGGATCACATGAGCCCAGAGAGGTTGAGGCTAAGATCGCACCACTGCACTCCAGCCTAGGCACAGAGTAGACCCAGTCTCAAAAAAAAAAGGAGAAATTAACCCAAAAAAATCACAGCGTTACACTTTAACATGTCTCTCTTGGAAACTAAAATATTAAGCACTTTAAAAAATAAAGATCAAGACTATTTGAGTAAATAAAGATCAGTAAATTTGAGTAAATAAAAAATAAAGATCAACACAATAGCTTGACCTAATAGAAATACTCAGAACTACATTCTAAGCAGAGTATACACATTCACAAAAATTGACCGTAAGCTAAGCTGCAAAGGAAATCTTAATACATCTCCCCACCCAAAAATAATACAACACAGACCATCTTCTCTTACCACAATGCAATACAATTAGAAATGAAAAACAAAAGCCAGGCATGGTGGCTCACGCCTGTAATCCCAGCACTTTGTGGGAGGCCGAGGCGGGTGGATCACGAGGTCAGGAGATCGAGACCATCCTGGCTAACACAGTGAAACCCTGTCTCTACTAAAAATACAAAAATTAGCCGGGTGTGGTGGTGGATACCTGTAGTCCCAGCTACTCAGGAGGTTGAGACAGGAGAATGGCCTGAACCTGGGAGGCGGAGCTTGCAGTGAGCCGAGTTCGCACCACTGCACTCTAGCCTGGACCACAGAGCGAGACTCGGTCTGAAAAAAAAAAAAGAAATGAAAAACAAAATAATAGCCAAACAAAAAACAAACCAGTCTAGAAACTTTTAAACAGACTTGTAAATAACTCAAGTTAAAGGGGTAGCAGGACCAGAACCTAGATTTCCAAATAACCAGTGCAGTTCATGATCTAGCCCTTTTGTTCATATAAAGCTATTTGTTTTAAAATAGTTGCTGAATTCTATGAAAGGGTGAGAAAGTGGGAAAGACAGAAAGGCAGAAACAAAACAAGGTGGGCCAGGAAAGGGATTCACTGGAGCAACTAGTTCAGTGTATGGAAGAATTGAAGGGTCAGGTCGTTATTACCAGCCAGGTTCAGCAAAGCCTGGAAGGATCTGCTGGTCTCAGTGACCTGGGCAGGCAAACACCACCCAGGGGAGGCCAGGGCAAGACACCAGCAAGCAGGCCAGATCCTTTGAGCTTGGATCCCAGGGTAGATTCTATTTGCTTCTGATCCTTTAGTGCAGATGAGCTCCTGTGTGCAGAGGAGAGAGGTGGATCCTAGAGGTAGGTAAATTCCAGAAACTACAAGGGGTCCAACAGTCAGTATTCAGAAGGATTCCAGATGGTTCCAACTCAACAATGCCAGAATACTCACAACATGGCAACTGTCTGTTTTCTGAACATTGGAGTCCAATGGTGCCTGAGCCAGGAGGCCTGCCAATTCGGTAGACCGGCCATGGTATTTGCGCCACACAGCACAAATCAGAGGGCATATTTGATAGTGATAACATAGCAGTCATTTAGCTTGTGTAGAGGGTTACTCGGGATATTTCAGACTCCCAAAATTCTACTGTGGCATTAATTATTCACATTATTTGATCACATCAGTTAAAATACAGAGTACCTATCATTCTTTCCTTTGCACTATGGTAACAGAACATCTGTTGGGCTGAAATCAGTTTTTCTCCTTTTTGTGTGAATTCGTTGATGCCTTCATCCACCCACTCACCCATCCCTCCATTTAACTAACACTCAAAGCAAACTTAACACATCTCAGATCCTCAGTGCTTCATGTGTCATTGTTTACGTCTCCTCTGATTACTTATAGGTGAGAAAAATAAAGAAGGTGGTGTGAGTTATTTGGGTGCAAAACGATATTCTAGAAGGAAGTGCTCAGCTAAAACTGTGCTAGATAAATAACTTTAAAAAAAAGAGAGAGAGAAATGAAAGAAAAAAAACAAAAAAAGAGCGGCAGAGAGGAAATGGGAAGGTCTCAGGGGGAAATCGGCTTCCTATCTGTCTGGGTTTTGATTTTGAGTTGCACCAGAGGAGTCTTTATGTCTGGGATGCTGAGAAAGCCAGCCCACGCCAGGCGGGCTGTGAGGGCAGGATTTGGAGGCGTTTCGTTTCTTAAACTCTATAGTCTGGATTCTGGTGTCAGGGGCCTGAGCCCTTTTCCTCCTCCTCTACCTCCCAGCTCCCACTCTACTTCCTCCAATCTTCCTAAGAATTCTGAGTCATGCAGAAAGGCAGGCTTCTCCCTCCTCCACACCTGCGCAGGTTTCTCTTTCCTCACACCTGCACGTCCACGCCCAGCGCCCTAGCCCCTCACACCCAGGATAACTGTTAGAGTCTCTCATACAGGGACATCATTAACACCTCCAGATTCCCGAGGGCTAGGACACTAAGGCCAGTGTCCACATCTGCCAAATTCCTCCCATAGCTGCGTGCGAGCTGAGTATGTTCCTAAGACACCTAAGGAATTCAGCACGGGGCTCGGGGTCCACTGCGACACTGAACGGAGCACAGCAGACGCTCTGCTGGGCCTCGGGTGGGGAGGGGTCGCCGTCCTGCCCTGAGCCCGGACTCCGCAGCTCGGCGCCTGCACCGCTCCCCTCGCCGAGCCCGCGGCGGAGTCTGCCGGCCCCACGCAGCGGGTCTGGGGCTCACCCTGAATCGGGGCCTGCGGGGACCACCGTGAGGCTTCCCGCTGGGTGCGCGCGGCAGCCCTGAGTGGCCGGGCAGTCATTCCCCTTTTCCAGATGGGAAAGCCAAATCTTGAGCCCAGAGCCAGCACCGTGTTCTCAGGCGCTGGGACTTCCAACCCGTGATCTCCCCACTGTAGTATTTCTGGGGACCTTCCCTGGGGTTCCCCCCGGGGCGTAGAGGGAAGGAACGTCTGGGGACAAGCGCCCAGGAAGGGTCTGGATTCTGTGTCCTCCGCCGGGAGCAGGCCCCACCGCAGGCGCAAGTGTGTGGGGCGCCCCCAGGACGGTGGCGGGGACCGAGCCCCTGCCCCGCGGAGAAGCAGGGGGCACGAGCCGCCGTTCCCCCAGCGCTGCGGCCGCCGCGCTCGCCAGGGTCTGGGGTGGCGCGGAGGGCGGGGGGCTCACACCAAAGTCCACTAGGGGCCAAAGTCTGCCGGCCCCAAGCTCCCACCGCGGGGTCGCGGGGATTTGCTCCGCCTCGTGAGCTTGGGATTCTGGTTAAAAAGGCGACTGGGCGGAGCCAGGGGCCTCCGACGGCGGGAGGACAGCGCTGCGAGGAGGCGCCCGGGACAGTCATGGAGCGCCGCGTGGGAGTGAGGGCCTGGGTGGAGGAGAACCGGGGCTCCTTCCAGCCCCCCGTCTGCAACAAGCTCATGTGAGTCCGGCACCCCCATGGCCTCCCCCTGCCCTTGCTTCCTCCCCCTCCTCCATCTGCGCCCTCACCTTGCAGCTCCGAGTTCCTGGACCCAAAAGCCTGCAGAAGGGCGGCTTCAATCTCTTGGTTCTTGGGGGAAGATGGAGACAGGCTGTTCCGGTTCCACCACATCAGTCTGTTCCTCTTTCTGGTGACTGTGGTCTTGACTTCTGAAGAAGGCTGAGCTGTGGGAGATGAGATGACAAGGTGCACCCCTCCTTCCGGGGCTGAGAAACAATACTCCAACCCAAGTAACACTGTGCATTTTGGGAAAACTCAAAAGTGTGGGGAGGGTGGTTTTCAAGGCCCCAGAATTGCACTAGAATGTAGGCCTGGGGGCAGCCAAATCATACACCCCAACCCTGTGCCAGAAGCCACAGGCAAAGGGGAAGGCAGAGAATCCGCTCCTTTGGGAAGATCTTGATTTCTTGCTCTTTCCAGAGCCCCTCTTTGCAGGTGTGCACGAATACACACACACACACACACACACACACACACACACACACACCACAGCAGACCCTCCCTAGGCTACCTCTGCCAGTAGCCTCTGCCTGCAGCACCCAACAGGGTTGGCCGTCCAGCTGCCATCTTTTTCAGGCAGACCTCTCAGGCCCTCCCCTGTGGCACGGTCACCTCCCTCACCCCCCCAGTTCCATGGCAGGGCCTCACATGCCGGCTAGATCAAGGTTCACATTCCTCATTTTTGCTGTGTCCACAGGACATGGTCAGTAGGGTGGCACCTCAAACCAAACAGCAGGCCCAGGACTATGCCGAGTGTTTTTACGTCATCTCATCTCATTCTCACAGTAGCGCCATGGGGGGGGATTTTCATAAGTAACTTTTCTAGTGTCACAGAGCGCCTGTGGGATAGGCTCCAGACAACCCATGGAGCAGTTCGACTCCAGAGTCCACGCTCACTCTTGGTTACCATGCAATACCACATGGCCAACAGTCAATAGCTCCCCAAAGATCTCTTCGGCCACTGTTGTTGCCCACCCCAATCAAAGATGTAGCATTGTCTTTGCCTCCTTCCACCACTTCATCCCCGTCTGTGGTCGCTCCCTCTCCGTCCTCCCATCGCTCCCTGAGGTCTCCCGTCCATTTGCCCAGGCCTCTCGCTAGCATTCGGTGGTTTGATGGCATCATTGGTATTCTTGCTTCTGCTGCACCACACCCACCTCCACCTTCGTCTTCACAAGGCGATCTCCTCGTGTGTGTGTCTGTGTTCAAATTTCCGTCTTTTAAAAGAACACCAGACATATTGCATCAGGGGCTCACCCTACTCCAGGATGACCTCATCCTAACCTAACTACATCTCAAGGACCCTATTTCCAAATAAGGTCACATTCTGCAGTACTGGGTGTTAGGACTTCAACATATAAATTTGACAGGGGGGGTTGCTATTCAGCCCATAATACCCCTAAGCAAGGTGAGAAGCTGCTTGAGGGTTCTGGGCAGAGGAGGGGCAGGTCTGGTTTGTGCATCCTGACTGATGGGTTGAAAGAGTTCTTGAGTGGAGTTGTTTAAGAATTGTCTGTGTATATCTAAATTACACCTCAGTGAAGTTGATTTTAAAAAACAACTTTCCAGGTTCCCCGGCACTCCTTAGACCAAGACCAGACTCCACGGCTGGTCCACCCTCCTGGTCCAGCCTTCTCAACATCGTTTCCCAAGGTCACCCCCAGTGCTTCTAGTCTCAGAGCCTCTGCACCCAGCTCTCCCATGCATACCCTTCCCCAGTCAAGTTCCTTGTAGCTTCTCTCCCTTCCTTGAAGCTCTATGCAGCTTTAAGTTTTTAAGCATGGACTGTTCATGACAGCCTCCTCCTGCCCTGCGCCTCATCCACCTTTTCAAACATCAGGTCGACACGTGTGTTTCTGGCTTATTGGGCCCAGCCTCCCAAAAGGGAAGGAAAAGGAAAGAGACTGGCTCTTCCGTCTTGTCTCCATGCCTCCCAGCTGGGCTGGAAAGCAGCCCACAGGAGAGGACACTCAGAAAGGACCTGCCAGTCTAGTTTGGGGGCTCAGACCTCCCCCATAGCCCCTCCCCTGCCATCCACACCATTATCATCCATGCAGGCAGCCTCTAGAATGCTGTGCCCTGTGTGTACAAATGGTCCCAGACCCAGCACCTCCCCTCCCAGAGGAAAGCCCTCACCCCTGCCCTCTGTGGCAGGGCCACCTGAGAAGACCCTGAAGCCGCACCCAGACACATTCTGCTGCTGATTCACCCCAGCGTCTGCACCCTGAAAGGGGACCCTGCTGTGCGGGTGGGGCGGGCTGTTCTCAGGAGGTGCTGAGGTATTTTTCCCATAAAAAGGTAACACCACATCAACAGCAGAAAGACTGAGGAGTTTGGGCACCCTTTTGTTCCAAACAGCTGACTAGATGCCCCACAGACCCAGTGCCCGCGTGGGAGTCAAGGAGCCTGAGACCTGGCTCAGGTTCGGTCATTCCCTGACTATGTGACCCTCTCTTGGCGGGCTAAATTGGCTGTAAAATGAGAGGGCTGTATTGAGTTTATTTATTTATTTATTTAAGACAGAGTCTCCCTCTGTTACCCAGGCTGGAGTGCAGTAGCGCGATCTCAGCTCACTGCAACCTCCACCTCTCAAGTTCAAGCGATTCTCGTGCCTCAGCCTCCCAGGTAGCTGGGATTATAGGTGCCCACCGCCAGCGCTGGCTAATTTTTGTATTTGTAGTAGAGACGGGGTTTCACCGTGTTGGCCAGGCTAGTGGCCTCAAGCAATCCACCCACCTCTGCCTCTCAAAGTGCTGGGATTACAGGCGTGAGCCACCATGCCCGGCCGGGTTTCTTTATTTTATCAAATACTTAAATAGTGCTTACTACATGCTAAGCATCATTCTGAGAGCTTCCAAATATTAATTCATGTATTCTGTTTAAACTCTGTGAGGTAAGAACTGTTCCTCTATTTTACAGATAAGGTTAGTAACATGCCCCAGGGCCTGTACTTGTAAACACATGCCACACTGACTTGACACTGCCTGAGGCCCCTGCTAGATGTTATAGTCTCCTGCACCCACGAAGCCATGCCTCCAGCCAGGGCAGAGTGCAGGATCCCGTAGTCAGACAGCACGGGTGAGCGGCAGGTCAAGGTCGTTTTGCCCCTACACTGCCTCATCCTGGGAAGGGGCCTCCAATTTGCTACTCTCCTATAATTTGAGATCTTGATCACAGCCCAGGATCCTGGTTGATAAAGCCATAGATTCACCACCATGTCATTCCCCTTGTTGGGTCAGAGGATGTGGGGGGACACACAAACAGGGACAGTCACACAGACACCATCCCAGACACATAGACGCTTAGATGCACGCAGGCATGAACTGGGGATGAGAGTTGGGGGACAGGGACAGTGAGGCCAAAACAGTCCTGCTCCTTCTCCCAGGGGCCCTCAGGCTCCCTCCTGGCCCCCAAAGGACCCCTGCTCTCTTCACTCGTAGGAGATGGTTTAGAACGTCTCCCCTACTTTGCGCGCATTGCAGGCACCAGGAGCAGCTCAAAGTCATGTTCGTTGGAGGCCCCAATACCAGGAAGGACTATCACATCGAAGAGGGTGAAGAGGTAGGTTTGACTGGTCTCCCTAGATCTAGGCCTGTGGGCAAGGAGCCTGGCCCTGGGGGGAGGGGGCGCTTCCCACTCGAGGCCCAGAGATGATGGACTGGAGAGGGGTGGACATGTGGCTGATAAGTGGAGAGGGCTGGACATGTGGCTGTAAGTGGAGAGGGGTGGACATGTGGCTGATGAGTGGAGGGGGCACAGCTGAAATCACAGGGCATGACTGCTCCCTCCAAGCTGGTGGGCAGGCAGTGACAACTCCACAGCCAGCACCTTTGCTGGGGGAGCCCCGGGAAACAGCCCACACCCTGCGGGTGACAGAGGCTTTAGCTGTGGGGCATCCTCCCCTTGGATATAGGGGCTGGCCATGTTCGGGGGGATGTCCTGGTTCCCTCCCCACAAACTTGACAGATTCAATTGGTCTCCAAAATAAGATCCTCCCCTGCAGACAGGGGCAAAGTGCAAAAATAGCGTGAGTGAGGCCTGGGCTGAGTGGGTGGCGGAGGGAGCGGGAGGGGCTGAGGGAGGAGGAGCTAGTGGCTAAGGGGTAGCACGGTAGGGTGTGTCTGGAGCTGAAGGAGGAGTTGGGGCTGGGTGGCCCTCCCTTAACTAGAGGCTGCAAAACCCATTTGTGGCTTGTGGCTGGGGCAGGTGGGAGGGGGAATTTGCCTTGAATCACCTTTTGCACCTTGAAGTTTGGACTGTGCTTCTCTACTACCTACCCCAAAATAAATAAACAAAAGCAAGATTTAAAGAGAAAGGTGTGTCCCCTTCAGAAGAGACACAGAATCTCCTCTGGTGGGAAAGGATCAGTAGAGGGCTCCCCGTCCTCTCAGGGAGCCTGATTCTGGGGGTTCAAGATCCAGAGTCCAGCTTGATCAACAGCCTCTGTCCCCACTGAGGGCATCCAGGCCACAGCCAGGGACTGTAGTGAGCATGGGAGAATCACTTGTTCAACAAATATTTGTTGAGCACCTCATGTGTGCACTGGGACACGCAAGGCTGTGCGGAGGAACGATGGGCCCCGGGCCAGCAGAACCAGCCAACCCCTCACCTCTCATGCTCCAGGGGCCCTGCACCTCTCCTGGCCACCCCCTTCTCACAAACACACCTCACTGGAGACCGTTTCCTTGGTGGAAAAAGTCAATAGGAAAATCTAAAACTATACTGAGGAGGTGGGTAGACCTGGCGTGGCTATGGTATGGGAGGCACAGCTGACTGCGGAGTCTTCCAGAGACTTCGGCCTTCTCTGTCAGCCCTGTTCACAGCACCCACCTCTCCTGTCTCCCTCTGTCTTTGCTTCCCTTCTCGCCCCCTGCTGCCTCTGCCCCATGCCCATCCCATGGTTTCTCCAAGCTCAGGTGGCTAGGTGTCCCCTGAGGGGCCTGGCCAGCAGCCCATTCCCTGACTCAGATGGCAGCTGAGCGATGAGGAGGGCTGGCCAGCACAGGTGTCCTCACTCTGAAGGGACACCCAGGTGTCTGGGAGGAATCTGGCTGGAGGTGGGCTTGTGACAGGGCTTGGTCCCACCCTGCTGAGGTTTTGGTGGCAGGGTGGTGCAGCACTTGTGCAGCTTCAGGGCTAAGGGTCAGCCTCCTCTCTGTCCCTGCTTGGGAAAACTCCAGGCTGTGCTGTGGAAGCAGTGTAACTCAGGGTCCGGGCTCCCCCTGAATAGTGAGAAAAGGGGAGTTGCTCAGACCTGGGTTCAAATCACACCTCTTACCAAACCCCATTTTCCTCCTCGCCGAGCTCTGCCTCTGCAATAGCGGTCAGGGTACCTCCAGCTCCCTGACCCAGCTCCCCAGTCCCCAGCGCCACCTACCACCTATACTCCACGTACCTCACTGCTTTGTTGGAGCGTGCAGGTGCAGGGGGGCCAGAGGCAGATGAACTTGCATTGGGGGAATTCTCTGCCGCTTACTAACCCCGGGATATTGGACAGGGCACATCACATCACCTCTCCAAGCCTGTTTCCATAAGTATATGAGGACAACGGCCCCTGTCTGGTGGAAGAATTCAATGTGCATAGAGTATGAGCACAGAGCCTGGTGCAGAGTTGGTGCTTGATATGCATGGTTCCTCTACACCTCTCGCCCTTTCCGCCTGGCCTGCCTGAAAGGCCTTTCCAGGTCAGAAAGCCAGATTCTATTCATTAGCTGCCTGAGCCAGTACAGTTAATCTTCTAGCCTGCCCCAGGCCCCCAAACATCATTTACTTCCAAACTGAGCATAATTCCTTTAGGATTTTCTGCTGTTCAGTGATCTGTACCTCTGCTCCAGGCCAGGCCTGCCCCTCATCACAGGGAAGGCCTCTGAGCAGGGGACAAGAGCAAGAAAATAGAGAAAATACCATATAGCCTGCCTTGTAAGGGTTTATATCTGGCCCAGAGGGTCACTCCAGACTCCCCTCTCCCAACTTTTCCTGCCAACTTTTCCTTTGCCCCTCCTCCCCTCCCTCACTGTGAAAGGACCCTAGACACACACACACACACACACACACTCACACACTCACACACTCACACACTCACACACTCTCACACAGGCTTCCTCCCAGCTTGGAGAGTGAGGGAGGAGAGCATACTGAAATGCTCCCTAGAAGAGAACCTGGTAGGTTTCTTATTATTTGTATGAAATAATGTGTATGGGATTTCTGTTTGTTCGTGTTTGTTTTTGTTTTTTAGAGATGGGGTCTCACTCTGTCACCCAGGCTGGAGTACAGTGGTGCAGTCATAGCCCACTGCAGCCGCGACTTCGGGGGCTCAAGCAATCCTCCCACCTCAGCCTCCCAAGTCCCTGGGACTACAGGCAGACATCACCATACTTAGCTAATTTTTTCTGGTTTTTGTAGAGATGGGGTGTCACCATGTTGCCCAGAATGGTCTCCACTCCTGGCCTCAAGTGATCCTCCCATCTCCCAAAGTGCTGGGATTACAGGCATAAGCCACCACATCCGGCCTATGGGTTGTTTTTAATAAGGAAAGTAAATATTGTTCCTTGTAGAAAATATGAGAAATATAGACAGAAAAATCCTTACCTCATTCATAACCCCACCACGCAGAGGGCCGCTGTGAACAGGCTGCCTCTGTTATATGTGTATTGCTACAAACTAAAACCCTGCTGGGTATAGTTTTGAATCTTTAACATAACTTTAGCATTTTCCATTTCCCCTTTTTATTAACAGCTATTCAAAAACATAGTTTTTAATGGCTGCATAATGTTCCATATTTTGAATCTACCATCAAATATTTACATTTCCCCATAATTATATTAGCATTACTTTTGTCATTCTTACCATCGTCAATACTAATAGCTAGAGGCTCATTGAGCACTTACTATGTGCTGAGCACATATGTGTAAAGCATCCCTGGCATCTTCACACCTCCATTTTGAGTAGATAACTGTCATTTTGTAGATGAGGAAACCAAGGTACAGAAAGGCTAACTGAATTGACCAAGGGCACAGAGCACCCTGGCAGAGCTGAGGGCTTCTAACTATGCACTGCATTAAAAACAGCCTTGAACGTACACCACTAGGCAGGTATGTCTCTGATGAACTGAGGTCTCATTCCTGAGGTGGAATTACTGAGGTCAAGGTTGTACGGTGACCAGCTATCTGGATTCACCCAGAACTTTCCCAGTTTTAGCACCGAGGGTCCTGCATCCCAAGAAACCCCACAGTCCCTCCAGGGGTGTGAACTGCCAAGGCACTTCACGCCCATGGCCAAGTTGCCCTTCAGAAGGGTGGTGACTATTTGTGCCTAGTGGCAGACTGCAGAGCCACATCTCTCTAGGTCCCTCCAGGTCAGCTTGGTTTCTCTGAGTAGACGCTGTTGATAACATTCCTTCAGCTATTTGGCTGGGGCTTTTAACACCTAGGCAATGTGTGACGGGTGGGGAGAAAACCAGTCTGCCTCCTCCTCTTCCTCCCAATTCCATGGGGTGATCTCAGTAAATTAGGGACTTAGGATGAAATCGGAAAAATGCAGTAGGAGCCCCTGCCCCCCGGCCTGGGAGCCCACAAGAGGCACATACTCCCATCCCCCACAGCACCTAACTCATCCCAGGCTGCCAGCAACCTCCACAGCCCCACCTGCTGCCAAGGCGTCACCCTGGCCAGAGGCTCCAGAGCCACATACAGCCTTGAGTCCGAGCTGCGGCTCCGGCTGGAGAGTAACCAGCTATGTGACCTTAGGCCAGCTGCTTTACCCTCTGAGCCTTGGTTTTCTTTCTTTGTTTTCTGCTGAATGGGGTTAATGATACCTTTGGAGGCTTTGCTGTGAGGTTTCTGGTGGAAAAGTGCCTGGCACAGCCCCTGGCACATAGTAAATGGGTGGGTCCCCTACCCGACTGCTGTCTCATTCACTTCCCCAGTGAGCATTTCATCCAGCTCCTGCCCGCCAGCCAGGTAACCACCGTTGCATCCTGGGTACTCTGATCATCACTTGCATGTCCAAGACATGATCCCGTGTGTCCCCAGCACTCCATGGTATGCACCGGGGAGACGGACCTCGGGACAGAAGTGACAGAGCTGCCCATCAACTCCGAGGCCTTCAGAAAGTTCTCAGGTTTCCCAGTCAGAATTCAGGGCCTGGGCAGTGGCCAAGGACCTGGAAGAGAAAGTGGGGAGGGTCCAAGCCTCTCTCCTGTCCCACAGGTATTTTACCAGCTGGAGGGAGACATGGTTCTCCGAGTCCTGGAGCAAGGCAAACACCGGGATGTGGTCATTCGGCAGGGAGAGGTGAGGCCAGATCCCAGCAGGGTGGGGAAGAGAAAGGCAGCCACAGCTGGAATCCTGGCCCTGGCTGAGGTCTTATCCTCCCTACCTTTTCCTGCTCTCCCACACCCCACCTGCCAACCTGCCCCTTCCCCATCCTCCCTCTTCCAGGCTGCTCCATCCTCAGCACAGTCCAACATTCCCTCTGGTTGCCCGGTGTAGAGGCTGGGCAGAGAAGAGGGCCCAGGGTGGACAAGCAGTACCACTCTGCTGCCCAGGGGTCAGCTGCGGATGCCCAGGATGTTGGGGGCGCTAAGGTCTCCGTGAGGGATAGTGGCCTCACTGTGCACCTTATCTCTACCACTGCAGATATTCCTCCTGCCTGCCAGGGTGCCCCACTCACCACAGAGGTTTGCCAACACCGTGGGGCTGGTGGTTGAGCGAAGGCGGCTGGAGACCGAGCTAGATGGTCTTAGGTAAATTCTGTCTGGAGGGCTGGGGCAGAGAAAGGGCAAACAGCAAAGGAGCACAGCTCCAAACTGCAGCTGAAAGGATCCTAGATAGACTCAAGAAAGCATGTCCTGGCCACTGAGTGGGCAGGAGGGCTTCACAGCAGAGGCAGTGGAGATCCTGTCTTTGTTGGCTGATGGTGGAGGGGTAGGGTGGGGTGGATTGGGTGGGGTGGATTCTGTTCTCTGTGACCCCCTGGAAGCCCACTCAGCCTGATGACCTTTGGCTGGAATCAGAATCTGTGCTTTCTGCATGAGGTTGTGAACCCTGAAAATTCGAGACAGGTCTCAGTTAATTTAAAAGTTTATTCTGCCAAGGTTGAGGACATGTGCCCATGACACAGCCTCAGGAGGTCCTGACAACATGTACCCAAAGTGGTCAGAGCACAGCTCGGTTTTATACATTTTAGGGAGACATGAGACACCAATCAACATATGTAAGATAAACATTGGTTCCATCTGGAAAGGTGAGACAACTGGAAGCAAAGGTGAGAAGACTCAAAGTGGGAAGGGGGCTTCCAGGTCACAGGTAGATAAGAGACAAATGGTTACATTATTTTGAGTTTCTGATTAGCCTCTTCAAAGAAGGCAATCAGATATGCATTTGTGAGCAGAGGGGTGATTTTGTGTAGAAAAGGGGACCGGTTTGCCCTAAGCAGTTCCTACCTTGGCATTTCCCTTTACCTAGTGATTTTGGGGGCCCAAGATATTTTCCTTTCACATTTCCCCCTTTTCTTTTTAAAAATCTTTTGGAGAAAGCGTTTTAGAAGAAATTGAGTCTCTGGTCCCAGGTTTTGTCTGATCTCTCATGGCTAGGATGGTTTATTCCTAGACGGGTAGATCCCAAGTTATTAGGGAAGTTCAGTTTTAGAAAGTTGTTAAGTCTCATGTCTTACAAGGAGAAAATATGAGGAGGAAGGAAGAAAAACAACAACTAACGAAAGAGCAATCCTGGAAAATCGATATAGGCCACATTGCTCTGAAGTTCACACATCAGTAGGCAGGTGTGAGAGTGGTTTAGGTATGTAAATAGGTTGCTGATATTTTCTTCTGAAGTTTAAGTTGTCTGGCTTCAGTTTTCAGGGCTTTAAGAAAGCACAGCTCAGCTTTCAGTGACTCCAAGTTAGGAAAAACAAACAAAAAAAGAGTAAAAAAATTGAAAACATTATTTTGAAAACTTGTAGTCAAGAAAAATTAAAATTCAGTCCAAATCGTAGAAAAATAATAAAAATTGAGAAACATTAGGCAAGACTAGAATCTAACAACAGGTATACTATAGTTTTCAAAACATAATTTTTCTCTCTCCAGTTTCCCATTTTAAAGACAAATCATGGTAGGACTGATTTGCTTTATTATACTTGGCCTAATTATTTGTATACAGTGCAGCAAGAATAATTTTTTTTTGAGACAGAGTTTTGCTCTTGTTGCCCAGGCTAGAGTGCAATGGCACAATCTCAGCTCACTGCAACCCCCACCCCCTGAGTTCAAGTGATTCTCCTGCCTTAGCCTCCTGAGTAGCTGGGATTACAGGCACCCGCCACCACACTTGGCTAATTTTTTGTATTTTTAGTAGTGATGGGGTTTCACCATGTTGGCCAGGCTGGTCTTGAACTCCTGACCTCAGGTGACATCTGCCTCGGCCTCCCAAAGTACTAGGATTACAGGCTTGAGCCACCACACCTGGCCAAGAATAATTATTTTTTACATAGGCTTTTAAATTGACTTTGATGGAACTTTTTTCCATAGAAGGAATCTCAGATAAGAGCTATTTTTAAAGCCAAGCCTAGCCATGGATGTGTGCTATTAAATACCTATGAGTTGGGTGATCTTCTTGAGGTTCCAAGGTAAACTTGGGGCTTTTGGGCCTGTCACCAGAGACAGGGCCTTTACTTACCAGAGGTCAGGAACCCTATACAGGGAAGGTATGAGGCCAGTTTCCCTAAGGGGTCTTTATTGGTTCCATAAACCAAGCTTCATTCCTTAAAGGAAAGCACACCATTCCAGTCAAAGCCTTAATAAAATAACCAGTTTCTCCAATTACGTCCTGTTGCAAAATGAAAACAGATTCTTACTGCACTTATGCACATAACTGTATTGCCATAAGTTAAGAATACTCACAAATAGCTTCCAAATTCTGGAGAAATCAGGTAGAGAGAAAAAAATATGCTCCAAATTTTGTTCATGGGAGTATAATAAATTGTTAAAAACTATCAATAGCTCAAAAAAAAAGTTTCCTTGACTCTGAAAAAACAAAACAAAGGATCAGCAACATTTAAAGCAAAAGTAAAAAAGATTACTTTAGTCTTCTATGAGTTCAGTTTACATAGTTTACTCCTGTTATGCTTGATATTCATGAACATTTCAGCCCTCCATGAGAGTCCTGAAAGTTTTTCTTCTCTATTCTAATGTCACTATCTCCAAAGTTATCAGAAACCTGCATTTAAGAACACCTGTGTTCTCTGGACACGGGGGCTCACGCCTGTAATCCCAGCACTTTGGGAGGCTGAGGCAGGCGGATAACAAGGTCAAGAGATCAAGACCATTCTGGCCAACATGTTGAAAACCCGTCTCTACTAAAAGTACAAAAATTAGCTGGGTGTGGTGGTGTGCACCTGTACTCCCAGCTACTCGGGAGGCTGAGGCAGGAGAATTGCTTGAACCCAGGAGGCGGAGGTTGCAGTGAGCCGAGATTGTGCCACTGCACTCCATTCTGGCAACAGAGTGAGACTCCATCAAAAAACAAAAACAAAAACAAAAACAAAAAAACGAGCACCTGAGTTCTAGAGCTGATTTTAAAGCCACCTCCTAAAGAGAAGCAAAACAGGACCATTGTCTGTGAATGACAAAAAGTTTTAAGGCAGCCATAGTCAAAGACACAGTAGGCAAGGAAATTTGTTACTTCTGTGGCACACAATAATTTAATACAATTATGATTATTACTGATTATGTGCACTAAGTTTTATCAGGATTATAGGAGTTTCCCATAATTTTGGAATGCATACCAATAATATATTTATACAAATACAGCCCAAAGAAAACCAAACACCATTTCATATTTGACAATGCTTTTTTATACCAAATAACTATGTCATTTTTGGACATTAGGGAACCCAATATCTTAACAGATTAATTAGGTCAGAAAAAGATATAATTTATCATTTGATTTTGGAAAGTTTGTCAAATATCAAAGGTTTAAAACTCTTGATATCACAATATAGGATCATTCATTTAACCAAAGTAATAACTCGAGGATTTCAAAGAAATGAAAACCTTCATTCTTTGAGAAGAGACTTACTGTTCCAAACAATAAGCTCTAATAAAAATAGCATGAAGCCAGGCATGGTGGCTCACACTTGTAATCCCAGCACTTTGGGAGGCTGAGGCAGGGGGATCACAAGGTCAGGAGTTCGAGACCAGGCTGACCAACATGGTGAAATCCTGTCTCTACCAAAAATACAAAACTTAGCTGGGCATGGTGGTGTGCACCTGTAATCCCAGCTACTCAGGAGGCTGAGGCAGGAGAACTACTTGAACCCAGGAGGCGGAGTTTGCAGTGAGCCAAGGTCGCGCCACTGCACTCCAGCCTGGGTGACAGTGAGACTCTGTCTCAAAGCAAACAAACAAAAAAATAGCATGAACCCAATTAACTATAGTTTTAAAAATTATATCTCGATGATAAGATATAATTTCCATAAACGTTTCATAACCTTTACTTAGGAGTCAGTTAATACTTCAAGAAAACTTTTTAAATCTGACACAGGGGCCCATATGCTGGTCTTGCATCAGTGTACCTTTGACATTAATGACTAATTAATAGATAAACTGAACTTATTTATTTATTTATTTGAGATAGAATTTGCTATTGTTGCCCAGGCTAGAGTGCAATGGTGTGATCTCGGCTAACTGCAACCTCCACCTCCTGGGTTAAAGTGATTCTCCTGCCTCAGTCTCCCAAGTAGCTGGGATTACAGACATGTGCCACCATGCCTGGCTAATTTTGTATTTTTAGTAGAGACGAGCTGTCACCATGTTGGTCAAGCTGGTCTCAAACTCCTAACCTCACATGATCCACCCACCCTGGCCTCCCAAAGTGCTGGAATTACAGGCATGAGCCACCACCGCACCCAGCAAGAAACTGAACTTATTTTATCTCTCAAAATTGGTCCTTACAATCTCCCATGCCCACCTCTTCCATGATAGTCCCTGGGCCTTAAGGAGTTGAATAGTTTAATTTCTGTCCCTGTGTTTCAGGAATGCAGTTTATTTTGATTGGCATCTTCTACTGGGCCTGAAGATGGGGCTTTAATTGATGTCAGTGTCTAAAATTTAGCAGGACTTGGTCGGGCACAGTGACTCACGCCTGTAATCCCAGCACTTTGGGAGGCTGAGGTGGGCGAATCATGAGGTCAGGAGTTTGAGACCAGCCTGGCCAACATGGCGAAACACCATCTCTACTAAAACTACAAAAAATTAGCTGGGCATGGTGACAGGCACCTGTAATCCCAGCTACTCAGGAGGCTGAGGCAGAAGAATTGCTTGAACCCAGGAGGTGGAGGGTTGCAGTAAGCCAAGATCACGCCACTGTACTCTAGCCTGGGCAACAGTGCAAGACTCCAGTCAAAAAAAAAAAATTTAGCAGGACCTGGTGTCCTTTTTAGACCCAGGAGTCAAAGCCCTGTAACTTAGTGTCACAAGGACATTAAAAGCACATACAGAGAGATACACAGATGTAATAACCTTAACTTTTGAAAAAATTTAATCTCATTTTTTTTTCCTAAGCAACCCAAACTTAATAATAATGTGACAACTTGATCATATAAAAGTTTTTGGGTTTTTTTAAAAAATAAGTCCTCTTATTGTGACTTACACAGACCATTCATGCTATGCTTGGACTTTCTGGTTTGTCCTGAACATCCCTCCTTCTGGTTTGTCCTGAACAAACCAGTCATTTTACTCTACAACTAAATTTACCGTACAAGAGTCTTTCTCACATGAAATTATTTCTCTTTAAGCTTTCTTACCACGAAAAAACTTCTTTGTTTTTATTTTTATTTATTTATTTATTTATTTATTTATTTTTATTTATTTATTTTTTTTGAGACGGAGTCTCGCTCTGTCGCCCAGGCTGGAGTGCAGTGGCGCGATCTCCGCTCACTGCAAGCTCCGCCTCCCGGGTTCATGCCATTCTCCTGCCTCAGCCTCCCGAGTAGCTGGGACTACAGGCGCCTGCCACCATGCCCGGCTAATTTTTTGTATTTTTTTAGTAGAGACGGGGTTTCACCATGTTAGCCAGGATGGTCTCGATCTCCTGACCTCGTGATCCGCCCGTCTCGGCCTCCCAAAGTGCTGGGATTACAGGCTTGAGCCACCGCGCCCGGCCACTTCTTTGTTTTTATAACTTTCTTTACATCTCTTTTATTTCCTGGTTCCTTTTATTTTGTTTTATACATGACCTTTAGATAAGCCTTAAATTAGACAAAATGGTTCACTTTTTTTAAAAGGACGCACCTTTTTTTAGAAAGAATGTTTTCCTACAAATATATTTTTATTGGAAAGTACCCAAATAATGAAATATCTACTATTTAATTTAACTTTAGATTCTAAATTATGACAAGGTTGTCTACAAGTATTTATCCTATTGCATTTGCATAATTATTTTATTTTAATCATTTACTTAGATTATTTGTAAAAATTGTGATTGTCATTATGTAAAGTTATGGAACCACCATTGCAAAATTAGAACTGGGACAGTGAAAATGATTTGACCTAAATGATTCCATCTTGCTTCTAACCTCCAAGCTCTCCTTGTTCATTTCTGGGTATAGGCTGAACTAACTTTGAGAGAAATTTAGTTTAGTTAATTAGAGCCCCTTTTTATATTTTCAGCAGTGAAACATTGTGTATACAACACATACATAGACGTCTTAGGCATGCTAATAGAAGTACATCTTATAGATTCATAACAACTTTTTTTTTCTATCTTAGACTTTCAGATTCTTTTTTCTTTTTTTTCTTTCTTTCTTTTTTTTTTTTTTTGTGATAGAGACTTGCGCTGTCACCCAACCTGGAGTGCAGTGGCACAATCTTGGCTCACCGTGACCTCCGCCTCTCAGATTCAAGTGATTTGCCTGCTTCAGCCTCCCAAGTAGCTGGGATTACAGGTGCCCACAACCATGCCCAGCTAATTTTTTGTATTTTTAGTAGAGACAGGATTTCACCATGTTGGCCAGGCTGGTATCAAACTCCTGACCTTAGGTGATCGACCCACCTCGGCCTCCCAAAGTGCTAGGATTAAGGTGTGAGCCACCATGCCCAGCCAGACTTTCAGATTCTTGATAACCTGTTTTACAACCACAGGCAGCTGTCAGCTAAATAGCCTTAAAGTTGCATATTAAAGGAAACAACTCACCAGATGCAGTCTGAGGTGGGTGGATCATGAGGTCAGGAGTTCAATACCAACTTGGCCAAGATGGTGAAACCCCATCTCTACTAAAAATACAAAAAAATTATCTGGGCGTGGTGGAGGACGCCTGCAATCCCAGCTATTCAGGAGGCTGAGGCAGAGAATTGCTTGAACCCAAGAGGCAGAGGCTGCAGTGAGCTAAGATCACGCCACTGCACGCCAGCCTGGGTGACAGAGTGAGAATCTGTCTCAATTAAAAAAAAAAAAAAAAAAGGAAACAACTCAGGTGAAAAATCGAATAGCAAAATTTACATCATAAGGTACAGAGAGAATAAGTCTGATAGTGCTAGAGGGAGATTAAAGATGGATGCTGGCTGGGCATGGTGGTTCATGCCTATAACCCCAGCACTTTGGGAGGCAGAGGCAGGCGGATCATCTGAGGTCGGGAGTTTGAGACCAGCCTGACCAACACGGAGAAACCCCATCTCTACTAAAAATACAAAATTAGCCAGGCATGGTGGCACATACCTGTAATCCCAGCTACCAGGGAAGCTGAGCAGGAGAATCGCTTGAACCCGGGAGGCAGAGGTTGCAGTGAGCCGAGATCATGCCATTGTATTCCAGCCTGGGCAACAAGAGCGAAACTCTGTCAAAAAAAAAAAAAGATGGATACCAAGTCAAACATAAAATTATAGAAATCTATCATAGGATTGTATAAGGAGACCAGTTTTATTTAGATTGGGACTACCTATCTTTTAACTGGATCTCTGAGCTCTGGGCAAAGCCCACACTGAATCCTGGGTCTCCAAAAAGGGAGAATTATTATGAGCTTAGGCCACATGATGCTTTTACAGTGCACTTAAAAAAAGGTTTTTTTAAACAAAGACATTTCTAAGTGTCTAAACCACACTCTTCCACACTTGATCTTAGTCAAAGGCCTAGAAGCAATAAAACCACACTCTTCCTTAAAAACTCAAGAGTAAGAGTAACCTCAGTTACAATAACTATTTGAGTAAAAAAAAAAAAAAATCCAGATAACAATATAAAAGTAAGCAGTTTAAGAGTTGAGACCAATATATCTTTTTACATTCTTGATAAGGAAAAACAGGTTTCTCCCCTAAAAGGAGTCTAGTGCCTTCTTCATTTTCTTTAAGAAACCGCAGGCTACTATAAACTATTTTAGGTCCCTCATGCAGCAGAGGGTGCAAGAGAAAGGAGAGACAGCAGAAGTAAATGAAGAAAACAGAATTCGGTCAACTGAGAAGAAAAAAACTTTTGCTCAAAAAAAAAGACAAGGTCCTAGGAGAAAAAAACAAAAACACGAAGGTTAAATACACACACACACACACACACACACACACACACACACACACACACCCCTTGGATGTTAGCTTTTAATTAAGCTGATTTTTAACCATTGAGCTCTTTTAAAAAAATCTTTTTAAATCTCATTACTGTATTTCAGCAGGAAAACAAATGCTGCTGTTTCAGAAGTACAGCCATTGCTCTTTCAGTTTTGCCTGGTTAGCAAAAGGTGGCCTTGTTATGTAAATCAAGCCCCTTAGCAGTCAAAATAAAAAATCTTTCATCTTTTTTTTTCTCCTTTTGCTGGCCTTTTTTCTCCCCCCACCAGACCAGCTTTTTTTTTTTTTTTTTTTCCATGACACAGTCTTGCTCTATCACCCAGGCTGAAGTGCAGTGATGCAATCTCGGCTCACTGCAACCTCCGCCTCCTGGGTTCAAGCAATTCTCCTGCCTCAGCCTCCTGAGTAGCTGGGATTACAAACATGCACCACCATGTCTGGCTAATTTTTGTATTTTTAGTAGAGACGAGGTTTCACTGTGTTGGTCAGGCTGGTCTCGAACTGCCAACCTCAGGTGATCCACCCACCTCGGCCTCCCAAAGTGCTGGGATTACAGTTGTGAGCCACCACATTCAGCCAAGTATTTCTTACACTATTAAATCTTTTCAAAAAACACAATGGCTACATAATCATTCACTGTGTAACAGTCTGTTGTAGAGACAGACATGGTCTTATCTTCTAGAAAAAATCTGTCCCAAGGGACTTTAATATAGGGAGTCTGATGGAGAGGATGGTGTCCTCAATATCATTTTATAGCAAATTCAATAACACATTTCATCTGGCTGCTTTTGACCTTTAATAAAAGCCAGGGACTCAACATTAAAATGCCACTCCAAAGGCAGTTCCCGGAGGGCACTACCATCCAGTTATGAAGCTTTCCGGGGCCAGCTCCATCCCAGGCTAGGATTTAGGCTGCCAGGTGGGTGGATGCACTGTGTGTCTGTAAAGCATCTCCCATCAGCAGGACCACATCCCTTTTAAGAGCAGACAGAGCTGGCCTGGGCCCAGGAGCTGGGTTTGGGCATTAGGCATTCAGTCAACAGGCGTTCCTGGCACCCACCATGTGCAGCACACACAGGGACCTGGGGCCCATCCCAGCCTGCCAGGCGCTCCTCAGGCCAGGGGAGGAGCTCACTGAGCCAGGCTGGGGGCTGGGGTGGGCTGTAGGGGTCTACTGAAGGCTATACATACATGTACGTGGGCCTTACCCCAGAAAAGAGTTCAAAGCTTTGCTCCAACTCTCAAAGGCAATCATGACGCTGACAGGAGAAGAACCCCTTAACTGGGGGACATCTTCTGTGTGTTGGCTTCTTTTTTTTTTTTTTTTACTTATTTATTTACTTTTGAGACAGAGTCTTGTTCTGTCACCCAGGGTGGAATGCAGCAGTGCAATCTCGGTTCACTGCAACCTCCGCTTCCCGGTTCAAGTAATTCTCCTGCCTCGGCCTCCCAAGTAGCTGGGATTACAGGCCCCTGCCACCATGCCTGGCTATTTTTTGTATTTATTTATTTATTTATTTATTTATTTATTTATTTATTTATCTATTTTAAAGTAGAGACAGGGTTTCACCATGTTGGCCAGGCTGGTCTTGAACTCCTGACCTCAAGTGATCTACCCATCTCAGCCTCCCAAAGTGCTGGGATTACAGGCATGAGCCACTGCGCTCAGCCATGTTGGTTTCTTAAGTGTCCGTGCACTCTGGCCTACAGCACTGCAGGCCAGCAGAGCGTCCAGCCACTGGCCCTGGTTTCAGGCTCAGCCTTAGCTTCCTCTTTGGGAAAAACGAAAGCACTGCGATTAGAAGCTCTCTAAGTTTCTAAGATTGTCTTGAGACTGGCCTGCTTCCACCACTTACAGGCTGTGTAATCCTTGCCAGATTGCTCAGCTTCTCTGAGCCTCAGACTTCTACCTGCTTTGTCGAGTTTCGGGAACTAGTTTGGGTCTAGTTTTGGGAACCGGACAGAGCCGTGTGAATTCTGGGGATAGTACCCCTCTCAGGGCGCACGTGTGCTTCTGAAGAGCAAGGTGTTAAGTGACCAATGACCACTAGGGTGTGCTAACACGGGTGGAGCAGACAGCAGCAGAGCCAGGCCTGAGTGGGGCTGCCCTGAAGCCACCCAGATGGGGACAGCAGGGTTGCCTGTCCTCTGCCCTGGCAGGTACTATGTGGGCGACACCATGGACGTTCTGTTTGAGAAGTGGTTCTACTGCAAGGACCTCAGCACGCAGTTGGCCCCCATCATCCAGGAGTGAGCGCCCAGCCCAGCCCCTGCCTCTTGCTTTCCTGGGGCTCTGCATCAGCACCTGATGGCCTGGGAGAAAGTCTCCCCTCCCAGGGTGGGGAGCCTGGCCCAGAGAGCCCAGTGCCGCTGGGGGGAGGGAGGAGCAGCAGCACGGGGCTGGGAGGGAAAGGATGGCAAACACACAGCTGTGTGAGGGCCCTATGAGTGTGTGTGGGCTCCTGCACCTGACCGTGAGTATGGTGTATGTGTGTGTCGCTGGTCACTCCAATGGGAGTGCTCGCCACTCCTGCTCCTCCCTGTTCGTCCCTGCAGGTTCTTCAGCTCTGAGCAGTACAGAACAGGAAAGCCCATCCCTGGTGAGGCCGCTGGGAACTGCCCTTCTCCTTCCCTCCCTCCTCTTCCAAAATAGGATGGGTTTTGGTCCAGGGGACCGGGGAGTCTTTGTGAATATTCTGCCCAGTTCTCAAGGTACTGAGAAGACGGCAGCCAATGGTACCCCCTACATGGCTGCTTGATCACTGAGCCGGATCCAGAGCCTGTTCCGGCAATTGAGACCTGGGGCCCCTGGGAACTCAGCCCACTGGGGCCGGGTGGGCTGGGTCCTGGGTCCTGAGGACACTGACTGTAGTCATGCTGTGGGTGCAGACCAGCTTCTCAAGGAGCCACCATTCCCTCTGAGCACACGATCCATCATGGAGCCCATGTCCCTGGAGGCCTGGCTGGACAGCCGCCGCAGGGAGCTGCAGGCAGGCGCACCACTCAGCCTGTTTGGGGACACCTATGAGACCCAGGTAATGCAGTCATGGGACATCCGGGGCATCCTCCCAGCAGCCCTGGAAAATGGAAACCAGTCTCTCTCTCACTGCCTCTCTCTCTCTTTCACACACACACTCACACAAACACACACACACGCCACATTTCAGAGGTTGTAGACATGAGCATAGGCCTTTGTGCTCCCTCCCTGACGCAGAGGGCGATGGCTTTGCTGCGGGCGAAGTCTGTGGAGGCTATATGGTCCCAAGCAATTTTAAGAACTGAATTCACTTTCAGAGTTGGAGACTCCCCCACTCACTGGCAGCTTCCTGGGGGTCTGCAGTTTTCCCCTCGCTAGGAATTCCTGAGCCTTCAGCCAGTCACAGCCTTGGAAGCCAAAAGGGAGAGAATTGTTTGGGAGTGAGGGTTGGGTGGAGAGAGGGATTCAAACAAGGCTGACTTTCTTTCATTCCGCATTTATTAAATGCCTGTTATGTTTCAGGCTTTAGTGGGAGAGTAGGATAGACTTGCTACCTTAAAGAATGTATAGTTTGTTAAAGAGATGGACAAGTTAATCAATAATTGCCACAATCACGTGATAAAGTATCTGATAGAAAAGCTATAGGAAGCTATAGAAGGATAAAGGAGGAATCCAGGCTGAAAGGGAAGTCAAGGAAGGCTTCCCGGAGGAGGTGATGTGCACATTGCATTTTAAAGCTAGTGTAGGAGTTTGTAAAAGAAAGAAAGGGAGGTGGAGAGAGCATTCTAGGTGAGGGAGAAGCATGAGCATGAGCTGTTTGAGGCTTGAAACAGCCTGGCACTGGGAGTAGCTGAAGTTAGCCAGAGGCGGGGCTGGGGAGTGGGGGTACAAGTGTGACTGGTGGACTGTGGAGCAGCAGGCAGGGCCCAGGTCCTGGTAGGTCTGCTGGGTTAGGCAAGGTGGGAGGACTTGTCCTAAAGACAACAGCGCTCCATCCAAGTATTGAAGCAGGGAGTGACAGGCCAGAGTGGTGTTTCTGTACCATGTGTGGGGACGAGGCTGGGAGGGCAAGAGTGGTGCAGGGAGACCTGTGTTCACCTGTGCTTTACGGCTTGCCACTGGCACGTCCCGTGGGCTTTGAATGAGTCAGTCTGTGCAGGGATGCTCATGGCCACAGGCTTCCCGTAGAGGCCGGGCCTGCTGCTCCTGGGTACCAGGGACGTCCTGAGCTTACACAGGGCTGCAAGAACATGCGCACATGTCACAGCAGTGCCACTCAGCCCTGCACCCCACCTCTGCCATACGCTGCTCTTACCTGCTTCGGTTTACATTAATGAATATGCGCCCTCTCCGGGGCAGCAGGAGCATGGCCCTGCACAGCAGCTGCGTGCTTCCAGGCTGGTACATGTCAGAGAGGCCTCAGCCTCACCCTCCTGGTCCCTCTCGCCTCCTGAGGCCAAACTCAAAACCTCTCTCGGAGAAAGGGAGGTTGCACCCTCTGGGAAGCTGATGTAAATGTGTCTCTGGTGTGCCCTGGTGGGCATGCCTTCGCATGAGCACACATCAGAGGGACCATGGGTGCACTGCACGTGAAAGGCAGGCATGTGTGATCCCAAATACATGCCTGCCTTTGGCAGTGGCGGGCACAGGGAGGCCTGCAGCCCAGGCAGCCCTTCTCTCCAAGTCCTGGTCTCTGCTCAGCACATGGCGATGGGCCTGTTTTATGGGCCTCAACCCTGCTCCAAGCAAGCCTGGTGTCTGGGGGCAGGTTCAAGACCATCTCCCATGTTGGGGAAGAGGTAGCAGATGTTTCTGTTTCACCTCCCACCAGGTGACCGCCTATGGGCAAGGCAGCAGCGAAGGCCTGAGACAGAATGTGGACGTGTGGCTGTGGCAGCTGGCAAGTGGGGCCCAGGGACAGGGTTGCAGAACCCCCTGCCGGAGGGCATCAGCCCACTCCTGGGACTGGGACTGCCACACGGGGCCCACTCTTGGGGCCTTGGTGCCCAGGCAGACTCAGACATTCACCCAGGTGTTGAGGCCCAACAGTCTCCATTTGATTCTCCTGCTCCTCTTCTCCAGGAGGGCTCCTCGGTGGTGACAATGGGGGGACGGCACCTGAGCCTGGCCCCTGATGACAGCCTCCTGGTGCTAGCTGGGACCTCGTGAGTACGCGGGGAGGCTTTCCCTGGGATCCTCAGGGTCCAGCTCTGTGTGAGCCCTGCTCATCTGTGTTGTCCACAGGTATGCCTGGGAGCGAACACAAGGCTCTGTGGCCCTGTCTGTGACCCAGGACCCTGCCTGCAAGAAGCCCCTGTGGTGACCCTGTTGCCATGGCCTGAAGCAGCCACAGGTGTGCCTTGCAGCACCCTTGAGTGCCATCCCTGCCAAACAACTCTCCCAGCCCCACCGCTTCTCTGTGTACTGCTGCTGTGTCCCCCACAGACCTGGACATTGTCGTCACCCACCCTCCTGCCTTTCTCAGCCCAGATGCCACGCCCCTGAGCGGGCAGCAACTCCCCGTCTTCTCCGGCAGCCTCAGCCTACTGCCTTGCCAGTCTTACCAGGTGGTCTACTCCTGGCCCAGCTCCTGACCATTCCTCTGTCCCTGTAGACTCAGTGCAGCACTTCCCCGCCAAGAAGGCCCTCAATAAAGGCTTCCTGGTGAACGCACACCTGTGGGTCTGCTGCAGGCAGTCATCGCTGGCGTTCCCATGTGGCCCCCAGGACCATGTGGTGTGTCTGGGGCATCAGGGCACCAGGTGACCATGGACGTGTTGGAGGGTCTGTTACTGGGCATCCTGTTTGTGGATGGGCATTCCTCACTGTGTGTGTGACTTGATCCACGCATGCTCCATGCCTGGTCCTGGGAGCACAGCCAATGTCATCTCTCCACTTCCTTCTCTGTTCTCATTAATTCTTTTTACCTTTTTTTTTGGAGATAGGATCTCACTCTGTCACCCAGGCTGGAGTGCAGTGGTGCGATCACAGCTCACTGCAGCCTTGACCCTCCTGGCTTAAGTGGTTCTCCCACCTCAGCCTTCTGAGTAGCTGGGACTACAGGCATGCGCCACCACATCCTGCTAATTTTTTTTAGTTTTTCTTTTTTGTAGAGATGGGGGTTTCGCCATGTTGCCCAGGCTGTCTTTTTACATAACTTTAAAACACTAGCATCTGTTGAGTTTTTTTTCCAATAACAGAAGTCATCTGTGCTAACTATAGAAAACCCAGAAATACACAAAACCCCCCACCCAGAACTAACCACTGTTAATACCTAAAGACTGTGAGCAGCCTGGGGAGGGGCAGGTAGTTGTACCAAGAGCTCAGCAGTGTCGGTGGGGGGTCTGGCCTTGTGCCCCCTGCCCTCCCCTGTCATGCACAGGTGCCATGTTCAAAGACTCCAGAGGGCCCCCTGAGCCTGCTGTGGGCGTCTAGGGATGCTGGAGGCCTCAGAGGCACCAGTGGGCAGAGACAAGAACGTGGAACCTGCAGCGGGCACAGTTCAGTTTCCTGGGACTTCCGTGAGAAGTCAATGAGGGCATGCACATGAGAGTGACAGATCTGGACAGAACGGGTCCCTGTGTGGACTCAAAGCTTCCTCTAGAAAAGAACACCTGAGCCCTGTCTCCCGCAGCCCCAGCCCAGTGGCTCACTGCCTTCCTACACTCCACTGGGAGCAGAGAAAGACCTGCCTTGGCTGAAAAGGCTACTGGCCCTGAGAGACATCGGGACCTTCACCCACCTCTTCACCCCTAAGGGCTTTCCTCTCCCGCAAGCAAAGAAAAAACACCATCAGCCTCCTCCAAACACAAATGGTCCAGGACAGGTGCGGGCAGAGGCTCCGCGCGGCTCGTTCCTGGCCTGTAGCAATGCACTGCTCCGTGCAGGACCTGAGAAGAGGACACAGAATGTTCCAGGAAGGCCCCAGGTCAGAACACAGGTAGCCATGAGGAGAACAGTTTACTCTCGTACACAGGGCAAGCCTAATCTAGAGAGAAAGTCAGGAAAATTAGATCTGTTTTTGTGAACACTTGCTCTGTCCCAAGGAATCCCCTGGAAGTTTTTACATAAATGATATCATTTTATCCTCACAACTCTCCAAGAAGGTGGTAGAGCCTGATTTTACAGATCAGGCTCAGAGAAGTTTGGAAGTAGGGCAACTCTGTTTCTAACCCAGGCCTGTTTGCATATGAAGCTTAGGCTGGGCCTCACCACCCTGCTTCTCCCAGGGATGTCTGTCCTCAGCCTCAACCAAATGGGAGCCCAGGGCAGCCAAGAGAGGCCAGGGGTCACTGTGTCTAAGACACAGAGGCCAGGCTACACATGGCAGACTGCTGACCCCAGCCAGTTAGCAGTGATGGGGTCAGGCGCTGGAGCCTAGAACCACCGCCTCCCTTGGCCCTGCTGTCCCGGGTAATCAGGAGCCTGAAGCCCTCATCTCCACCCACAGGACCAGCCCGTGGGTTCATGAGAATACTTCACCATGGGACAGCTGGACTTGTACCTTGTATGGAGCTAGCGCCAGCCTCCCACTCCCCATTCCACAGTCAATGCTAATGGGGGCAGGGAGAGGGGTGGACAAGGAGCCATGGGGAGGCACAGAGAGGGGAAATCAAGATTGTTCTGTTTGCGGGAGATGCCCCCAGGTCCCCATGCCATGGCAGTAGAAATTTGGCAGGGGCATCCCCTATGGGGCTTACTTCACCATGTACCCAGACTTGGAACCATCACAGACTTCGGAACCATCAGGAATCTGGGAGCAACTGAAAGCTGAACTGCAGTGGGCTTTCAGACACACAGCAGGCGGGCAGAGCACAAGTAAGACTGGTTCCCTCCAGGCCACCAGCAGGGCGGTGGAGGTCTTCACTGACTCCCTGCCCACCTCTCCCGGGACAATGTCCTGTTGGCTCCACGGTCCCTGAAGCCAGAGCTGGTGGGGGCAGGGAGGCAGCCACCAGCCTCTATATGTAGTGGAGGAGGGGGCGTTCAGGGAGGGCTGTATGATCCTGAGAGCCACAGAACACAGGGCTGCAAATACTCTCCCGCACCTCACCCGACTGGACTTTCCTCCCACTTCAGGGTGTCTCTGGGCTTCCATCTTGCCCCTGCTGAGCCCTGCTTCTTCCTCTACCAGCAGCACAACCCCCAGGCTGGGCTCAGAGACCTCGTGTGGTCACTCAGTGCCCCGAGGGGGAGGGAAGGAGGGAGGGCTGCAGGGTTCCCCTTGGCCTACAAACAGGAACACAGGGTGTTTCTCAGTGGCTGTGAGAATACTGATGAAACCCCCCGGATGTTGTGTCACCGTGGTGGCCGGCTGATAGTGCCAATCATCCCACTTTGTCCTGGGCACTCCTGCAGGGGTAGAAGACTCCAGAACCTTCTCTCAGGTCCTTGGCTCAAGCAGCCCATGGAACTTCATAACCTGAGTTCTCCCTCTCCCTCTCCCTCCTCCTCTGTCCTCCCTCCCTCCTTCCCTCCCTCACCCTCCTCCGCTCCCTCTGCCTTTACCACTGTGGGGGGGTCCTCTGGAGGGCCCTGCCACCCCACCTCTTCCTCGCTGGTGTCTGCTTTCCTGGCACCGATCCTGGCCCTGGAGTTTGTCCTGGGCCTGGTGGGGAACAGCTTGGCCTTCTTCATCTTCTGTGTCCACACGCGGCCCTGGACCTCCAACACGGTGTTCCTGGTCAGCCTGGTGGCCGCTGACTTCCTCCTGATCAGCAACCTGCCCCTCCGCGTGGACTACTACCTCCTCCATGAAACCTGGCGCTTTGGGGCTCCTGCCTGCAAAATCAACCTTTTCATGCTGTCCACCAACCGCACGGCCAGCGTCGTCTTCCTCACAGCCATCGCGCTCAACCGCTACCTGAAGGTGGTGCAGCCCCACCACGCGCTGAGCCGTGCTTCCGTGGGGGCAGCTACCCGGGTGGCCGGGGGACTCTGGGTGGGCATCCTGCTCCTTAACGGGCACCTGCTCCTGGGCACCTTCTCCGGCCCCTCCTGCCTCAGCTACAGGGTGGGCACGAAGCCCTCGGCCTCACTCCGCTGGCACCAGGCGCTGTACCTGCTGGAGTTCTTCCTGCCACTGGTGCTCATCCTCTTCGCCATCGTGAGCATTGGGCTCACCATCCGGAATCGTGGCCTGGGCGGGCAGGCAGGTCCGCAGAGGGCCATGCGCGTGCTGGCCGTGGTGGTGGCCGTCTACACCATCTGCTTCTTGCCCAGCGTCATCTTTGGCATGGCTTCCATGGTGGCCTTCTGGCTGTCTGCCTGCCGCTCCCTGGACGTCTGCACACAGCTCTTCCACGGCTCCCTGGCCTTCACCTACCTCAACAGCGTCCTGGACCCTGTGCTCTACTGCTTCTCTAGCCCCAACTTCCTCCACCAGAGCCGGGCCTTGCTGGGCCTCATGAGGGGCCGGCAGGGCCCAGTGAGTGACGAGAGCTCCTACCAACCCTCCAGGCAGTGGCGCCACCGGGAGGCCTCTAGGAAGGCGGAGGCCATAGGGAAGCTGGAAGTGCAGGCCGAGGTCTCTCTGGAAAAGGAAGGCTCCTCCCAGGGCTGAGGGCCAGCTGCAGGACTGCAGTGCTGTGGGGGTAAGGGCTGCCGCACTCTGGCCTGGAGGGACAAGGCCAGCACACGGTGCCTCAAGCAACTGGACAAGGGATGGCAGCAGGCCAGAGTCCAGGCCAAAGCACTGGCAGGACTCAGGTGGGTGACAGGCAGAGAAACCCGCCTGGGCCTCTCAGTGTGTCCAGGATGGCGTTCCCAGAATGCAGGGGAGAGCAGGATGCCAGGTGGAGGAGACAGGCAGGGTGCTGTGGGCATGCCAGCTCAGACAGGGACCTGTGCAGCTGCAGGGGCCAGAGGCCAATCACTGTCACAGCAGAGTCGCCTTAGAAATTGGACAGCTGCATGTTCTGTGCTCTCCAGTTTGTCCCTTCCAATATGAATAAACTTCCCTTCTAAATATATTTATTTGCAAGACCAAATACATGTCTTTAATTCTAACCTGGGACTGTCAGTAGGCGTCAAAGTGAGTGCCCCAAGGCGAAGGGAAACTTGGGAGAGAGTGGGGAAGCCATCCCGCAGTCCCGTCCCTGGGACGTCCTGGCATGCCCTGAAAAGCAGAACTGCTTTCCTGGGTGAGGGCCTCAGGCCACCAGGGCTCCAGGCCCTCAGGTAGAGTTTGATGCTGAGGACCTAACATCCCTCCCCAGTTCCCTTAATCCACTTAGCCCAACCCTCTCATATCATGGACAGGATGCACCCCAGCTACTAAAGTCGTCAGGAATAGAAGTGAAAGCCCCGGAGTGTTGCACACAGACCAGGAGGGTGGTGTCAAGGGTCCGTGTGGATGCTGGGGAGGGAGCCAGAGAAAAAGTATCAGGCAGAGGGAGGCAGGCCTGGGAAGGATGGGCAGGTGAGTACCGGACCCCACCTCCACCGTGTATCTCCAGCCCACTCCCCTGTTCTGAAAATCTACCTGCTGCACTCAGAAACCTACCGAGGTACTGGGGTGCCACCTGGGCCCCCTCCAGGGTTGTTCTTCTGTCTCTCGGCTCCCCATGGGGCCCCCCTTGCCCCCTCAACTCCTACTGCTCCCTTTTACTCCCTGGGGCCACGCCTAGGGGCTTCTCCACGCCCTCCGTGAGCCGCCTCAGCCTGAGTCAGGT